GCGAGTTTGTTAGGCAGCAGTAGGTAACCAGAACATCTCCTAAATAAGTCATTCTCACTTTAGCATAATTACCTCATGTGTTTGAAAACAACTTTTGTTAAGCCATGTCAACAGATCCAAGTCTAGAACTGGGTGCAGTTTTTTGTGTTACTTGTGTCATTCTTTTGCAGTGGCCATAATCACGAATCAGAGATGAATGTCTCGCCCTTGCACAGTAAATCAAAACTATGCAATGGTATAATGAGCGTGCAAAATCACACATGTTCTGCTTTACAAGGTCGGGGAGAAATGCAGAAGGGCAGATTTGTCAGAGTATCAGACTTCAGATCAGTTGGCCTGAAGCAGATCAACTTGATTTCCTTCTTTAGGAAAGAGCTGACATTGTAGCCCAGTCAGATTCAAGACATTTGACTCATCTGCAACTACTGCTCCAAGAAAATTAATATCAGAGCCCTCTTAATATCTGCCATCTCTTAAATCTATTATGATATGTTTCCTTTTTGTCCATTTACTGATTTGAGGTCTTTATTATGTTTCACATAGTCTTCTAAATTTATTCCACTAATATTTTCATGATACTATTTTTTACCTTAAAGCCTTTTATTGATTCCTAATTATATGCGACATTAAAAATCAACTCCTCACTTTCATTTTCAAGTCCTTCCACAGTACTGTAGTGTTTTATGTTGTCTACTCCCAGATTTACTTATAAAAATTCTGTTCAGTAGATGAGTGGTCAATAATATTTAATCCTGAAGAGCAGCAAATGGAGAGATAAGTATAGTCTTATCTAAGAAAAAGTTGATGGTGAGACTCACACCAACAGATGTTATAAATTATTCTAAATAAAGTTTGAAACATAAAAAATAAACCTTTTATTCCTTCCATGTTCTAAATTTTTGCCAGGTTGAAGGGGGCACAGCAGAGTTGAGTAGGTTGAATGGGCCCATGTCCACACACTTGGAGGCTCCGAGATCATGGCAATGGAATTTCAGTCCACTGAGAAACTGCTTGATGGGCCCCTTGTGGGTACTGCCTCATGAATCTCAATAACAGACTTATGGACCAAGGAAAATGACAAGAAACATTTCTCCTTCGTTAAAATATTTCTACTAACCGATCTCTCTCCATAATAAATATCCATGAAAATATATCTCTTCATAACCAGTCAGCATATATACCCAGCTTCGCTCAACCTAATGATCTTAACTGATACCCATTTTATAACAACTAAACCAAGCTCCAGTGCCCTAAAAATTCTGTAATAATCTCCTGAAACTGAGAAAGTCATAAGGCTTTCTGGAGTGTTCTCTCTTGCTATACCAAGCTAAATAATCTTGACATTGTATTACTACAGGTGTGTTCCTGGTAGCCTTCAGTCGACAGGCTTCAAAGCTACCTCTAACTAAACATGTAGTCTTGGTCTAGTTACTTAATAGTCATGAATGCCAGTTCTCTTATATAATTCTGGTAACATTTATCTTGTAGTAGTATGCAGTGAGGTTCAGGGACAACATATGAAAAGTACCTAGTATGATATATATTAGATAGTTAGCATTAGTAAATAGTGGATAATTATTTTATTAGTATATTTAATTTTTTTGAAAAAATATACATTGTACCTAATGTAATTGGCAGTGTTTCTAATATAACTGTTGGTTTACTTCCTTTAAACTTAATTTTTATAGTATCCCAAGTCTGGGAATATAAATCTGAATGAATAGTCAGGGATGTCATGAATAAGGATGACTAATGTTAATTTGGATTAGCAAAATCTATTTTGATTAGAACATTCTATTAATGTTCAGAGTCTACTGGCTTTTGAAAACTATAACTAAAACTGGATCCAATGACCTTTAAATTTTTTCTGTCCTTGTTAAATCATGCATCTAGAAATGAAAAAGTCAGTGTCTTGTATTCTTGATGTGATCAGAATTTGATCAAGAATGTGAGACAGGAAGACGAGGAATGCATTGTAAAAATATTTGAGACAATAAGCAAAATATTTTAATAAAATGGTGGTAAAGTAATGAGAAAATGCAGAGCTTTTCCAGTTTTGTGTTATAGCACATGCAGTTTCAAAATATAATTAGGGAGGAAGACATGGCAGCGTCAGGTTCCCTAGGAGGCAGATTCTGAGACTGACATTTGTGTCATGTGGTTGATTGGGGGAGAGCTCTCTAGGGCAACCCCTGAGGAGTTAATTTAAGGAAGCAGGAAAGGATAGAGAGACAAGATTGAACTGCAACCCTATCAACACCAAGGAGCTTATCTCTTGGGGATCTCTGAAGTTGGTGTTCCCTTTCAGAGGTTCCCCGGATTGAGTCAAGGGGGCTCAGCCTCCGTACCCTTTCACTCTTCAACCAGTTTGTGGAGAGAGAGCTCTTTTTGGCAAAAAGCATTATGGGGGCCCTTGGCTGTGAGCCAGGCAACACTACCAGCAACAGGACCGGCCTCTGCAGGAACTGGTGGGTAGGTCCTAAAGGAGGATCTATTCAGGGGGCCTCAGCATCCTCTCCAGTGCATACACGACTTATCTACTTTTGGGTGGTATGGACAAATTCTCTTCTGTTTGACCTATGACAAAATAAATAAAGGAAATATTATTTAAGATTTATTTAGGAAACGGAGTCTATATTATTAAACCCAATGTTAAAACTGTCTCGAAATAATTGTCTTCTCCCCTTTTGTGCACGTAGATGTTTGTGTTGTGGTTTGAGGATTGTTTTCACCTTACTTCTCTTGTGTGTATCTACTCTTAGAAAATTTTCCTTTTTAATCTTAACCTGAGGATCTTTTTTTTCCATTGATTTTTAGAGAGAGCGGAAGGGAGGGAGGAGACACAGACACAGACACCGATTGATTGCCTCCAACAAGCATCCGGACAGGGCCAGGAATTGCACCTGCAACCTAGGTACATGCCCTTTACTGGGAATCCAACCCCACCCTTCAGTGAGTGGGTCTGCACTCCAAGCACTAAGCCACACCGGCCAAGGCTACTCTTCGAAATGTTAAGTCAGGTTTATGTGCGGTGGAGATTAATGTCTTCGGTACTGAGTTGTGCGTCCCTTTGTTCTTTCGCCATATTTTTTGGTTCCTACTTATTGTTTTGTCAATGGCATAACAGTTTAGTTCTCATTTTGCTCTTTTTCTTTCTCAAAATTGGTCGGAAGCTGCACGAGATAAGTGGTACACCAAGTGCAGCATAGCAATGAACTTATCTGCATGGACTACTTCACTGCTATCGCATGGAAGACAGAGACAGCTTGAGTGGTGTTTCTGTGGGACACGCATCACGTAACATACCAATTTATGAGCTGAGACGTACCCCAGATGCATCCGGTTTATATAGGAGCTTGTTACCACTTGATTGCTGTATTTAAGTGGTGTTTGTTATAGCATCATGCAAAACAACTATTTATGATGTTTGTAACTGTGTTTTTCCCTCATTCAATTTCTGAATGCCACTAAACACTGACCTGTGTTGGTCGGCTTCCTGCCGCAGTTCCCAAATCAATGAAGGCTATGTCTAGTACATCCTAAAGCAAACATGAGATTTAATAAACTATTTTCTGATGTGGATCACATGACCAGGTATCAAATTCTTTTTTTTTTTTTTTAATGTTTTTATTGATTTTTAGACAGAAAGGAAGGGAGAGGGAGAGATAGATAGAAGCATTGATCAGACGCCCCCTACTGGGTATGCAGTCCGCAACCCAGGCATGTCCTGACCGGGAATCAAACCAGTGACCTCTTGGTGCATGGGTCCATGCTCAACCACTGAGCCACACCAGCCGGCACAAATTCTTTTTTAAATAAGAAATGCTTGTAAATAATGTGCTCCATCATATTTAGGTTTTTATTTTTTTTTCTTCTTTTGGGCATTCATTTTTATGATATCGTCTGGAAATTTTGTGCCTTTTATGAGGAACACTAAGTGGGTAAGAACAAAATGCTACCATACAAATATTTAAAATATATATTTTAAAATGAAACACTTTTCTTAGCAAGGCACTCGAACTAGGATGCTCTTGGAGACAGGGAGAGTAAAATATGAGGCCAACATTCACCAAAAATGATGGCTTTTCTGCCTGAGATGAATGATAGGCACTTAGTACATAACCTATGCTTCATTCCACACTGGGCATTGCCATTATTTATTCTGCCCATTGGAGTCTTTAAATTGATTGTGGAAGGTTAAATGACTGTTTTAACTTATCTCTAAAGATAGACTTTTGGTTAGCACTGTTCATTTTCCATTCACTATTGAGACTCTAAAATCTCTCAGTGGGTATTTTATTTCATTACCTCATTGCGCCTAGCGAGTCCTGATGAATTAATCAATAGAACCTGTGGAACACCTTTGTCACACCTTTAGTGGATCTCCGAAGGGTAATACAATGCCAGAAATATGAAAAATATGCTCATAAGTTATTGGTACTGTTTGGGATGCATAAAATTCTCATTTTAAAATGCATTATTCCTTGCTTATCCTTTTTTAGCTAAACACATTTTCTTTTCTGTATCTCTGTTTTGAGTGTGCTAGTCCAATTCGCCAGTACCAAGGCAAAGAAAATAGAAATGAATTGGCACATTTTCAGGACTTTCCTCACCTGATATATTTGATGAATAAATGAGGTGATGATTAAAATTTTCAAGTTAACCAAAAGCTATTTATCCTTCTAATCTTTTTAATGTGTATGTATTATAAGTCTGCACCAAATATGGCCACTAATTTCAAAGTAAATAATTAGTGTTTTAGGCTTTCATATGATGGGATACACTTTTAGAGTTTAGAATAATAGGATAAACAATTGAACAACAGCCTTAAGATAATCTCAAGAGGGACCCATGCGTAGGTTCCACTTTACATACAAGGCCTCACCTTAGACAATTAAACAAATTGCTTGACTCCACAATACATGATAGGGCCAAAGCTTAAGCTTTTGATTCCAAATCTAATTATTCCAAACCATGGCACCTCTCTTTATCTCTCTCTCTTTTCCTGCACTGTTCCCAAAGATACTGCAATACTGGGTCAATGTGTGGAGTGGACAGAACAAGCTCCCTCCCATTCCATCTCTCTGCTGCAAAACTCCACTTAATATAATGTCCTCAGATAAAGGATGTATCAGATATTAAACTGATAAGAACAGATATTACACTTGATAGCCAAAAGGCTGAGAAGCACTTTTAATATATATTTTAAAATTGATTTTAGAGAGAAAGGAAGGGAGAGAAAGAGAGAAACAACAATGCAAGAGAGAAACATTGATCGGTTGCCCCTTGCACACACCCTGACTGGGGCTCAAACTCGCAACCTGGGTCTGTGCCCTGACCATGAATTGTACAGGTAACCCTTCAATGCATGGGACGACACTCAATCGACTGAGCCACATTGGCCAGGGCCACCTCTTTTTATTGAAATGCACAAGACCACTGATCTAGTTGAAAAATCATTTTTCTGTGAAAAATGAATTCAAAATTACAGCTTACAGTGCTAGGCAAGGCTACTAGTTAAAGAATGAAAAAGGGCCAGTAGTACTCAGTAACTGGATTTAAACATGAAACGGTGACATTTGTTTTAGAATTGCATTTCTGAATATTCGTAGACAATGCCACACCCTAGTTTCTTCTACGTTAGTAGACATAAATAGATAAGCAAAGTTCACAGGTCTAGTGACTTTGTCTGTTTGTAATTCTATCTCCAACACATAAAACAGTGCCTGGCACAGAGGAGGTCCATTCCACGTATACTGAGTGAATGAAAGAATTAATAGCATTTACACAGCCAATCTATAAGAATGATTTATACAAAATCTCAGTTCCTTAGCAAATGAAATATACTATTTGGAAAGACTCACTGAGAGCTCATTTTGACCACAGAATACATCCTCTGTGCTAAAAAGTAATTAAATCTTTAGTTGATTTAAAAAATAAATAATATAAAATTAGATTGATGGATGATGCAAAATGGGGAATCTTCCAATTACCTCCTTATTTGGTATGATGGTTTCCTTGACTCTTACTCAGACATACTGAGAAAAAGTAATACTTTCTATTTTAATTTGATGTTTCGTCTTGATTATTTATATGAGGCTAAAAATGGCAACAAGAGAATCTTTCCTTGGGAGAAGCAAAAGTTGAAATTCATTAAAACTTACAAAAACACATTATTGATAGTCTCTCATCTGCAGACACATATTTCTGTGGTTCTATATTTAGACCTTTAAAAACTTCTACAGTTTATGGGGAGGTAATGTCTCAAAATAATCATGCTTTTGTTTCTGAAATAAAATGCTTCTCAAACTCATTTGGACAGTAAGCCGTATGATAATCTTATGTGTGACATTTTTACAATTATTCTCAGTTGGATATGGAAAGGGAGCTATTTGCCGTGTGGGAGAGGAAGACCTTTTCCTTTACCCTCCAGGTTCTTCTGGCTGGTCTAATAGTTAAGTCCACAGGAGACAGATTAATAAGAGAAAATAACCAACTTTCTTTGATTTATTTTCTTTATTAACTTTAGAGAGAGAGGAAGGGAGGGGGAGAGACCGAGATAGAAACATCAATGGGAGAGAACATCGATCGGCCGCCTCCTGCATGCCCCCCACTGGGGATCAGGCCCACAACCTGGGCATGTATCCTGACCAGGAATTGAACTGGTGACCTCTTGGTGCGTGGGTCGATGCTCAACCACTGAGCCACACCAGCCAGGTGAAAATAACCGACCTTAATTACATGTGTATGTATGGGAAACCCACATACATGAGAGAGGCAGAGACCCCAGTACATGAGAGGTTCTGTCATAGAAAGAGAAGAGGAGGTGCCGACTGGTGTGGCTCAGTGGACTGAGCGTCCTTCCATGGACGGAGAGGTCTCGGTATCATTCCCAGTGAGGGCACTGCCTGGGTTGAGGGCTCGATCCCCAGCAGGGGGCGTACAGGAGACAGACAATCAACATTTCTCTCACATCACTGTTTCTATCTCTCTCTCTAAAATAATCAATTTTAAAAAAAAGCAAGAAAGAAAAGGAGGTATATATGTTATCTTGAGCCATACAGTGGCTTCAAAGGCGAGAAAGTTCATTCATAAGACAATAAGAAGAGCAGATGTTCAGGAATTAGAAGTTTGCCCTGTCCTACAGAAAGGTCATAAAAGGTTATACAGAGAAATAACTGTTATTATGTGCAAGGCGCCCCGTTTCGATTCTTCCAGGCAGTTAAGGGAGCGGCAGATGTTTCTCCTGAACCTACAGGGTCTTAATTGCCTTCACCCCTAAAATAACCCACTTGCCCGAACAGCACATCTTGGGAGTCCTGTTCTGAACCCCTTCAGCCTCATCAGATAATACACAAAAGAATTATAGAATGTTGAATCTGAAATGGACCTCAGATAATCTGGTAAAGCCACTTTTTTTTTATCCTCACCAAGGACATTTTTGCATTTATCTCCAGTTAGAGCAGGAGGGAGAGAGGGAGGAAGAGAGAGAGAGAAACATCGATGTGAGAGAGACACATCAACTGGTTGCCACCCATACAACCCCAACCCGGGGCCGGGACAAACTGCAACCGAGGTTCGTGTGCTTAGCAGGAACCGAACCCAGGACTCTCTGGTCCGCAGGCTGACGCTCTAACCGCTGAGCCAATCCGGCCAGGGCAAGCCACTTTCTTTTACAAACAAAACAGAATGAGATCCAGAAATAAGTGACTTGCCCAAGGTAACCAAGTTTGATCTAACAGAACCAAAATTGGAAGGCAAAAGTCTGCCCCATTTTTCAGTAGAAGACTCAATCATCATAGAAACATGACCCTTAAAAAGTTATAGAAGATTTTTTCTCTATATTTCACCTATTTTTGACACTTTACAGGTAGCACTGTGCTACTAAGTGCTGTGCAATCATAGTCAAGAAAGCAGGAAACCCTGTTTTCTTTTTAATAAAAAATACTCCACACCCTGCAGTTATCTCTGGCTCCTCTTTCTTCCAGGTGCCACACTCCCTCTGTCATCGGTTCCTCTGGGGCTGCTTATTACATCCATCCAGAATCCATCCTCTCTCTCTCTCTTTTCCACCACCAGTTCCAAACCGCAGTCATCATTCATCTGTGTGCTGCTGAGGACCTCTGTAGCCGGTCTCCCTCCCTCTCCTCCTGCCACTGAGTGGTATTCTTCAAAAACACGGTAAGTCAGAGGTTACTATGCTGAAAACCTTCCACTGATTCCGCATCTATCTCTGAATCTAAACCAAACTTCCTACTATGATCTCTCATTTCCAACCACCCATTTTCTTTCTTTCTTTTTTTTTTTATCCTTACCCAAGGATATTTTTCCATTTTTTTGTACAGATAGAGTGGGAGGGAGAGAGAGGGAGAAACATCGACGTGAAGGGACACATCGAGTGGCTGCCACCCGCACGACCCACCAGGGCCGGGGACAAACTGCAACCGAGGTACGTGCCCTTAGCGGAAACCGAACCCAGGTCTCTCCGGACCGCAGGCCGACGCTCTAACTGCTGAGCCAAACGGGCCAGGGCTCCAAGCACCCATTTCCTATCTGACTCTGTCTCTTACCCTTTTGCCCACTCAGTGCACTGGGGCCTCACCGGCTTCCCCCCACGCTGAGATACACCGGCTGCGTCCCAGTGCCCGGCCTGTGCTGGTCCCGCTCTCTGGAATGCGAGCCCCACACATACATTCGCAAGACCCCCTCCCTCACTGCTTTCCAGTCTTTGCACAAATGCTCTCTCTCTGTGAGGTTAAGATGAGCTCCTGAGCCCTTCCGACTTCCTTCTTTGCTTAATTTTTTGATAGGACTATGATGTTTTGGTATGCTCAATGATTTCCTTATTCATTTTGATTTTTCAATGTTTCTTTCTCCACCAACTCAACTAAAACAAAGGTGTTATGGGTATGAATTTTTGTCTGTTTTGTTCACTGATGTATGCTTAGTACCTAGAGGAATGCCTGATTACATGCTAGAGAATCATGTAACATTTGTTGAATGAACAAGTGAGTCCTCCGAGCACAGTGGATGGGAAATACCCACTTGCCGAAGGGCAGGTCTATCTCAAGTCCACAGGTAGTTCCAGATTCTTCTTTCCCTTGTGGATATTACTAAGTACGGCCACCATGACATTGTAGGCTCCAGCGTTGACCACAGTCCTTCTCCACAAGGCCCATAGCAAAGTGATATCATTTAAGGTCCAGGGATAACAGACAGGAGTTATAAGAAAGGAGATAGTTCATAATTAGCTTCCTAGGTTGTCTCTTGAGTAGCTTACGGGCCCCTGCCCAGACATCATTGGCTGCCATTCTCCTACGTCTCCCTTGATAACGGATCCCTTTGGGGGCTGTTGTCTCAGGATAAGCCGAGCACAGATCTTGATTGTTCTATTTCAGTTAAGGTGCTGGTATTTTCCTTGCCAGTGACTGATCCAGAAGGATGACGCCGGTTGACAGAAGATGAAAGTCCAGTCAGTGGAGATAACACCCAGAATATTCTTCAGCTCTTCAACATGCATACAAGTCACATGCTCTTCCCGACACTATCACTACCCCTGCCTTGGGACATTAGGTATGATTTGAAGGTGTAATTCTTGCAAGCACAGTTGACCCTTGAACAACATGGTTTCAACTGTGAAGATCCACTCATACACAGATTTCTTTCAGTTAATACCCATACTGTTTCAATCCATGTCGGGAGTCCACAGATGTAGAAGGCTGGCCGTAAGCATGGTCTGGTGCCGTTTTCCATAGGGCACTTGAGCAGACTCAAACTTTGGCATTCACAGGGGTTCCTGGAACCAATATCGCACCATTGTGAAGGGACAACTTAGACTTTTGGGAAGTAAAAATTTACATGCAGATTTTTGACTGCATGGGGGTCAGCATTTCTAACCTCTGCATTGTTCAAGGGTCAACTATATAGGATCATATTGTATTCCTAAAAAACAAAGCCAAGGATCTAAGGCAACATTGTGAGGATGGCAGAAAGGAACATCAGCAATGACCGTGAGAAATTCTGCCCATCACCACCTTCAAGCCTTGGATGCAGCCTGAGAGCGACTGATCTCCCGGCTTCTCATATTGTGAATTAAATTTTGTTGGTTTTGAAATATTTGAACTGAATTTTTCTTTTAGGTGAAGTGAAAGGCATTGGCATTGACAAGAAACTCTCTAGGGCCTCTTCCCAA